CTTCCAGTTAATAAAACATTCGTTATAATGCTCTAATAATTTTAAATCGTTTACATGGTTTGGATTAACATTCCTTATGTGATTTATTTTACTGTTACTACTAAAAATAAAGGTTTTCCGGTTTTTGTATACCAAATAAAATGATACAATAGAAAAAAAAAATTCATAGTTATATTTATTTCAGAATAACAAGATGCGTGCCACTCTCTTCGGTGATCAAATAAAAGCATATGATGAGGCCATTGCATACAATGGGGAATACGAAATATCCAATGCAACTGTCAGGCCAATTGATGATCAATATCGGTCTACCCATGATCAACTGCCTTATCAACTACATTTCAATCATCGAACGGTTGTCCAACCTGTCTGCACCGAAACTGGTTATGTGGTTCCACAATATCAGTCAATAGCTTCAATCCCAAAACTAGAGGTTGCTGATGAAAGATATGGTATTCTCCTATACTTAATCTATTGTTTCAATTATAACATAAACGTTAATTGAAAACATTTAGCACTTAATTATTAACACATTTCTATGATTAAGTGAGACAATTACTCCGGAAAACAATATTTTTAACATATTTTTGTCGTTCATGTTGTCCCTTTGAAATTTGACATACATTTGATTAAATGATACGACTATAATTACAGATAATCCTATAATATTATGTGTTTTAAACAATGGTTATTCTACAGATGTACTGGGTGTGATATTATTCGTAGAAGAAGGAGCACGACAAATCAGCTCCAAATACAATACTAACAGCTATGTCCGAGAAATTTTTATTACAGACCAGACGTAAAGAAAACAATCCAACAAATTACTCTGTAATGAAATTATGTAATTTGTCGAAACACACGGCTAATTAGTTCTTTCTTTACCACAGGCATAACCAGACATTAACCATCTCTGCATCAAATGACCTCTCATGAACTGCAAGTGATGCGTTAAACTTTTGGGCCGAAAAATTTACCGTTGTTGGCTTTACAGCACTGAAACATAATCCTCGCAGAGGTAAAATATTTATAGCAGAAAAAAACAAAATAAAAAAAACTGTTTACCTGGAACGTACAAAATTGAAAAAATAACATGTGCTTTTTTTTCAGCATTTGCTTTATCAACTACTATGTCTACAAGAATAATTCATATCCTAAAGGAGACAGGGAAGACATGTTACGAGAATGGTAATTACAATGAACAACAAATATTAATGAATAAAAAATAAATGTTATATTTTAAAACGAATTTTTTTGTATAATTCAGGGTTGTTGCACAGAAACAACTGCTATAAGATAGACAAGCGAGAGTTCTACAAATAAGAGATTCTACACAAGAACCATCCATGAAAATGGTTGATGAACTGAAAGAAAAAAAGGTATATAAACTGGTTAAACTTCCACATAAATAAAATACATACACTTTTAATATTATTTATAATGCTATCTCAGGTTGCAAATTCGTTAATGGAAGAAAGACATTGGATACAGGCAATCGTTTCGAATGCTTCGTTGGACAATGTATTTGTCTATACAGGTTGCTCTCGATGTGGGAACAAATGCAGAGTACCGGAAGGAAGGCAATTTACATGTATCTTTTGTGACAATAAAAATCGTGTTTCGGCTCCAAGGTTTGTTAGATACCTAATATAATATAATGAAACAACTAGATAATTTAATAGTACAAATGTTTTTATATAATTTCAGAGTAACATTTCCAATATATAATAAAGCATCTTATATAGTTTAATTTTTATTAAAACTCTACCACTGACTTCATAATTTTTCCATTGTACAGGGTCGCTTTCAAATTTGAGGTAGTCGATGTAACAGGATCAATGACATTGACGTCGTTCAATAATGATACCGAGAAAATGTGTTGGTAGAACCGCAACAGAAATCAAAACTATGAAAGATTGTGTATGACCCTTTTCAATAATACTGTTACAAAAATTTAAAATACAGTTACTGTTACCCAAATTTAAAATATAGATAGCCAATTATAATATTTATGTACAACATTTGTTGTGAACAAGATACTTATACATTGACTTCAATTACATTATGTAGGGCGACGTATTTGGTTTCCAAGAAATTGAAGAGAAACTTCGGAAAAAAAACCACTTTTTTCAAGCTCGGTCCATATAATGCCCTTGGTTCAAGCAGCGTGTTGGAGTGGTCACTCAAAACTATTGACACTTCAGATGATGTATCAAAAAAAGGCGAGGCACAAATATCTGTTGTGCAAAATGATCAATCCGAAAATTCAGACCCGAATAATAGGGAAACATTTACACCGACCAAGCATCAACAGAGTAATGTTGATATGACAAATGAAGATACACCATATTCAAGAGCAAAAGACAAGGGAAAGGAAAAAATTTCAGAAATACCAATACCAAATATCCCGATCTCATCCAAAGGTCTGTAATTTATTACGTTCTTAGTATATAAGTTAATAATTTATTTGGACATGGCATGTTCCTCATAACAATTAGTATATAAATTTTTCAACTACAGGTATTGTTATAACTGATGAAGAAGAACGTGTTATCAAAGATTCAACTATACTAACAGCTGAACCTATGAGGACTCCAAAACTATCAACAACTGAATGGACAGACCTTTGTCGCACTCGCATGAGTGGAACCAAACATTCTCCAGTAACTCCAACACCCATTGGAGATAAAAAAGAGTAGCTTGGATGATCATAAAAGTACGGCAGCAAAAAAACTTCGCTTTACAACATCAGAGGAAACTGAAAGCAAAAATGATGAAGTTGCCGAAAAGAAAACAGAAGAATGATATAATCAAAGTTCAGGGTATAATCCAATCGTCACTCGCAAATTTCGTTTATTTTGTCAGTTATCTTCCGAATAAGTAATTAAGCTCAATGACTTTCAGATAATTAATGATTGTAAATATGTTTAACTCCAGCTATATAATACTGGAGAATGGAAATTTTCAAAAAGTTCTCTAAGAACATATACATTAGTAAACGTACTTAGCGAACGTTGTAGATAAGTCGGATGTATATCACAAGGAAAAAACAAAAAACTTACTGTGATGTTTATTTATGGATTTTGAATATATAAAAAGTTAATAATAATTATATAATACATTATCTATATTTGTTGAATTGTGAAAACCACACTTCTTCGTTACATCATCACACTTATCCACTGTCCTTAACCTAATTATTATGTTCTCTATTATAAGCAGGTGTTTTCTATACGGTATCTCCACTTAATTCATCATCCACAATTCAACATTTCAATCTCTTCAACAATAACACACTGACCAAAATTCACTACCTCTAAACTATTGATAAAAAACTTTTAACCACGTTCTATAACAAAATAATTTGTAATTTTTCAATCCTATCTTAAAAAAATATTTTGGCCTATAACATCTAAGATGAGAACAACCGAACTTGGCTTATCAACATCTGAGAGTAATCAAACAAACGTGATGATCGAATATAAAAAGTTATACTTTATTTAGAAGTTCTAAATACAAGAGTTTGTTATCAACAACGATCATCCATCTCATTCCCAGCTCCATAGCACACCCTACTTTTTATTTTGCATAGATCCTATTCTATACGATTTCCGAAATATTAATATTAACATAGGTCGTTACACAAAAATATCACTGTTCAAAAAGCAAGTACTTCTTCCAAGGTTATTACTCTATTCCTTTCATCTTTTGTTTTTTTTTCTATAACTTCAATGTAACTTTACATAATCTAGATTATCTGTGCAAGTACTTCGGCACATACAATAAACGAGAGTACAAAATAAATAAGTATAAATTAAATGTAACTTCAATGTAACCTTACATAATTAAGATCCTATACATTCTTGTGCAAGTACTTCGGCGCATACAATAAACGAGAGTACAAAATAAATAAGTATAAATTAAAACAACTGATATAGACGACATACGAAAGTATGTAATGCAACAACGGATAAACATAATCATCTCTAAATTATGTAGCATATAATACAATACCTCGGCTTCTGAATAGATTAAATAATACCGGGGTTTTTGAAACTAATTGAAGCGATACTACAGTTAATAAAGTAATCTAAGGAGAAAACAAATACCGTTCAAAATCAAGAACATTAACTGAGGCGTAAACCAGCAAATAAAACGCCGGAAAAAAAAACAAAAAGCCACAAGATATTTGATGCAGTACGCATTTCTATTCCTCTATCTTTGTAGACCTAAAGGATAGATTTTCATAAATAAATAAACACACTTATGAGACTCTCTTCAATTTAAATATACAACGGTTCAACTTGATTATATACGTAAAACAGTACCGACAATCATAACGTATATGTTAAAGTCAAAATTTTAGTTGTGAAATTCTTTTGACTATCCTCTAACGGCTAACGGTGAAACAATATTTCAATATGTTACTGATACTAAGGAAGCGTAGTTTAGTCTTACGGTAATGTATTATAAAACTATTTAACCAACGAACATTTCGGCTAGCAAATCAATAAATAAGAAACTTAAATGAGTAGTTAATCTGCGGAAAACCATAATTATAATGAATTAGTAGAAATGTTAATTGTTTTTCATAAATGTAAAATCTTTTGAAAAAAGGCCGTATTTATTTTTTAACAATAAAAAGGAATTAATTGACAAGTTACACTTCAATCGACACGACAATACGTAGGAAATCTAAAAGTCGGTTCTAAAACAATTTAAACCCTTTCATCATAACTAGATTCACTCTAACATCCAAATTTTATATCCAATTACATTCCATTATTACGCTTAACGGTTTCCAATACTTATCTATTCGATAAATGTTTTGGTAACTAAAAAGTTTTTAAAACAGATTATTATACTCCTCTTTTTCCCCTTTCTTTATTTATAACAACACAACCATCAAATACTCCATTTATAGAAACTGCCCTTATCTATCGAAAACATTCATCACTATCATCTTTCCATTTAAACCTCTTACAATTATAATTCAAAGTATGAGTGACATCAGTTATCCAGTAAGGGAAATAGATTACATTAGTAGTTTACATGATACAATACTGTGTCATATACTCTCTTTTCTACCAACAAAGTCTGCTGTAAAGACCTGTGTGTTATCAAAAAGATGGAAGAAAGTGTGGAATCAAGTACCCGTACTTGATTTCACGGAAATACCAGATGATTATCATCCATTGTGCAACGGTGCAAAAAATTCGTATAATAAATTTGTCAACAAGGTATTAGCTGAGAAAAATGCGTTATATTTGAAGCGTTTTTGTTATAAATTTTCCTGTGATGATGACTGTGATTACTACGACTCTTGGTTAAATGCTGCAAAACAACGTGAATGTTATGAAATTGGTTTGAATTTCATATTAGGCGCAAGTCAAATTTACAAATTTATGGAAATGATGTATGGAAAGGGAGTGAAGATATTGAAACTAACGGGTGTGAAAATGAATGATACACCAGAGTCTTTTCATCTACCATCCCTTGAAATTGTTCGCTTTGTTAAAGACGAATTTTACGGTGACTAATATATGAAAAGGTTTACATCGAATTGTGCAGCACTCAAAACAATTATTATCAAGGAGTGCACCGGTTTCGCCGATATGCTGTTTGTAGAGTTCCTGACACTTAAATCATTAGAAATTTGTGATATCGTGAGCCAGGCTTGGCTCAGATCTCTGATTATTACCATTAAAGCACCGATTCTTGAGTACCTTAAGATAGATGATGAAATAACATATTATATGGTTGATAGTTTACCTTTGCTTACCGAGGCAGATCTACATCTTAGGGAAAATTTTCCAGTTATGGTCAGTGAATATGGAGGTGATTATGATATTTATCAAAATATTAATTCTCTTATATGCAAGGCTTCCAAAATCAGATCTTTGAGACTCAAGACTTCTAGGGTAAGTATATATTTTTACAATATTTCTATTTAACTTATAATGGCGACATATTCATATAATACTTTACGTTGTTTTGAATTAATAATATTCATCTAAATTGGACGTAGCTTTTTCTTAATGGAAGACAACTACCGACTTTCGGAAACCTGACTCATTTGGCGGTAAAAGCCGAAAGTTGCACCTACGAGTTACTAAGAAATACTCCCAACCTGAAATCATTAATACTCGAAGAGGTAAGTACATAAGAATGGTTTCGTTATTTGTTTTCCTTTCGTACCCTAAATGAAATGAATTTAAATCTAATTATGTCAATATACTTGATATTTGTTTTATAGGTCGAGTGGATTGATACCTCTTTAAATTGTATAGCCGAAGAAGGTTGTCTATCAAATCTCAAGCATGTAACAATCTTCTTAGACAACGTGTGTCAAGTACATATTGTAACGTGCATATTAAAAGCTGCAACAAACTTGGAGAAATTGACCATTAATTTATGTTGTCCAAAAATATCTGAGAGCAGAATACGACGAGAACTTTCGGCTATACTAATACCAACATTGTCCATGAGAATAGAAGAGAAAACTATTACTTTTTGTTGCCCGACGTTATCCGAAAGACGCACTCAACAGTTTCCGATTATACTTACACCATCGCCATACTTGAGCATTACAGTTGTTTTTACAAAATAAACAATAGATCCTTAAACAAGCTCGAGAATGTATACGAAGTCAATTTAATCTTTAATCTTTTGTTTAGCAATTATTATATTAATATCTAAATTTATATACTTTGAATATTACAATCTTTGCTCCTGCTTTTATCTAAAATACTGTCAATGTTTGTTCATTAAATATTACGGTCTTCGTTCATGCTTTTGTTCCAAATACTTTCGCTGATAATTATTATTCCATCCATCTCCGAAATAACAATTAGTCGCTCTTAATTTACCAGACAATAAAAAAAATCAATAATAACCAAAAATAAAATCACTAAAAACAGAAACTTACACTGAATTATTTGAAAAAAAAAACACAAAAGCATAAAAAATAAATAAATAGAGAAGTGATATATTATTTTGACTTTAATCACCACAATTTCAATATTAAAAGCCGAAATTATCAATAATATATTACGTCGGTAAAATTATTACCATATCTTAACAACTCTTCATATCAAGATTATTTAGTTTAAATATATTGTAGACAACTTATTTTAAAGAAACCAAAACACGATCACCCAATCACAAAATAACTTTTATTCAGATAATATTAAAATAAACAACAAATTATCATATCAAAGGACCACTGTGAGATCGGCAAGTGCCGAAACATAAGTATTGTCTATTCAACAAAATGTACGGCCGAAACATATGTTTGATTTAATCGGCAGATATACAACGTACTTATTTATTCTATACCAATTAGTCGGTCTTGATTTACCAGACATTAAAAAAAAATCAATAATAACCCAAAATAAAAGCACTAAACATAGAAACTTACACTGAATTTTTTATAAAAAAATTAAAAAAAAAAACAAAAGCAAAAAAAATAGATAAATGAAGAAGCGATATATTATTTCGACTTTAATCACCACAAATTCATTGTAAAAAACTGAAATTATCAATAATACATAATTTCAGTAAAATTATTACCATAACTTAACAACTCTACGTATCAAGATTATTTAGTTTAAATATATTGTAGTCAACTTATTTTTAAAAAACCAAAACACGATCACCCAATCACAAAATAGCTTTTATTCAGACAATATTAAAATAAACAACAAATTATCATAAAAAAGGACCACTGAGAGATCGGGAAGTGCCGAAACATAAAATCTTACACCTACATGATATAGTACTGTCTATTCAACAAAATGAACGGCCGAAATATATGTCTGATTTAATCCGCAGATATACAACATCCTTATTCATTCTTAAATGCCTTCATCTATTATATCATAATCTATGATTTCATCTTCCATACATTTTACAAGAAAAAAATTATTCTTAATTTACCAGTCACTAGCAATCGAAAATATGGACCTTTTAATCCTAAAGAGTAAACAACATCATAGTAGCCAAAACAATGTCCTATAACGAGAACACTTCTTTAACAAAATTACTTTCAATATCACACAAATAAATATTCAAGTTTATTAACGTACCTTCATCGTAATAAATGATAATCCTAAAGTATGAATATTATTCAGAATATGCTTTCTAAAATCGTCATCAACGTTCTCGGTAACTGTTTCAAATCGTCCTAATACTACATTAAAGTATACGTATATCGGTATCTGATAACTTTATTCTACATAAGTTAAAATGTCAAAATTAACTACACCAGAAATTATGTTCATTCGACTACAATTATAATACGGTTTAAATATTTCGTCTAACTTACAATACATATATTTAACCATGGTAGTTTCTAAAATACTTACCCGCATCCCTTTTACCAAACTTATACATATTTATATATTATAATAGCACTTATTACCCGTATACATTCAATTGTCAAATCGCAACATCTCATTCGACTTTTAGCATTCTCTTTCCTCTTGAAAAATTAATTTGCCCATTACTTAAACCAATGCTTACTTCTTTCGCTTTGTGCACTCATTTAATATAAATGAACAAATATACGTAATAAATGTTACTTCATCCATCATCGAAAACAGAAACTAACAACATTACATCGTAAATCAGGAAAAAAAACATTGAAAATAGAGATTCACATTGGAATTACAAGAAAATATAAAAACAAATTAATACAAGTATTAAAAAAAACACTGAAAAAATGGAGTAATAAAACTTATTTCCTATATTAATTGAATTATTATTGTGTGAATCACGCCTCTTCACTCCATCATCATACCTATTCACTACCCTTACTATTTTCAATTAATTACACATCTCTAATATTCTACTTAAATATATGTAGCTCTTCCATGCTTTCCTTTTTTTATTCTGTCCTGACTTTTCCTCTTTCTATTCAAACCTCTTCATCATTTATTTCAGATTTTGTGCGTTTCTTTCGTCGTAACAACTTCTTGATACATATATATTTCGGCTTCCTTGTGTCCGTCGAATTTAAACTTCATTCTTTGTTTCAATGAGTTTTCTATACTATAATTTTAGTTGTCTTTGTTTCGTTTGTGGTGATCAAGTTTCCTCCACCTATGTTCCGTTCTTTGTTTTTATTCTATATTTTTTAGGGACCAGTAAAGTTGAATTATAAATTGTTTATTTGTGTTTTGAATTATGCTTTTCATTCTCTAATTTTTTTTAACACGACTGTTTGACTTTATTTTAAATAATTTATCTTCTACTTATATTAATTTGTTTATGTTTTTTATATTCATATCCTGATTCCAATTATTTTCAATTTCCCAACAACGTTTCACCAATTATAAATATTAAGTATAAATGGAATTTTATGTAAAGTTTATACATAAAGATTACATGGCATATGATTTGGTTTTTGTACGCGATTGAAATTTGCATACAAATGTGTCAACTTAGAGTTTAAGAAAAGAAAGGTAGGATTTCACAACAATGCTGAAACTTATGTTTTGCTATACATTGTAGGAATCTTTTTATATATACATTATACACCAATGGAGATTGAGGAAGAAGTTGAATTAGCGATTGAAAAATACAAAAGATTCTGTCAAATACATAAACGTATTTTGGAGGTTTTGAAATTAAACGCTATGGAAATGCAGAAAGAAGTTCTACGTAGACAGGACGAAGTTGATAGGATATTGAAGGACGCTGGTGAAGGTTCACAAAATGCAATTAGCGAAGCACCAACCGTGGTAGTCAATTTTATTACATTTCTAAATCAGTTAAAGCCTATTACAGCCGATGGTATAGCACAAATTAATAGGCTCAAAAAGGATAAGTAGAAGGAAAGGGAGAAACTCAAATCGATGGGGTTGAAATATAATAGACAAATAATTTATAAGCACCCATAAAATATTTGTATTCTAAATTTTATTAAATTACATTAGATAAAATTGTATAATTATAATAAAATGTAAAATATATATCTAGATCGTTTTCTTTCTGTTTTTATTTATGTTTACATCAATTTATTGTAATTAAAGATGATTTTTTTTTCTTTTTTATTTATATTTACATGTCCTCATTCCAAAGCACAACTTCTTATACGACCTTATACCATTCGATAATATTACGTAACTTTCGGCCAACACATATGTCTTCAAACCCGTGGTACCCGTGGTTCAATTAAATCACTTAGTACACCTGAACATCGACGACATCAATTTCGGATATGAAGTTCGACACTTCGACGTCGGCAAATCTGATTTACTTTCAAATGGAATTAAAAAATCAAACCTCAAAACTTCTTGCAATTATTTTAAAATATATGACTGTATATCTTCCAACAATTAAAATTGACCAATTAGATTGATCAATTGATGATAATAAGAGATTTCGACCTAAGAAAGGAGAAAAAAGGACAGAATTGGCAATTGATGTCGCTGAAGCAATTGTTGTACAGTCCACAATACTAATGTTCAAAATTGGCAAACTCATTATTAACAGTATTGAACAATGCCAATTTGGAACGTCAGTAATCTGAACAGTACAACATTTGCTTCAGCATTTGTTTTTCGGATTTGTCCTTGTCTCTTACATTCGGCCTTTTGTCGAAACAATCTCTTTCGAGATGGCCAAGAAGAAGAGAGAGAAAGAAAGAATAGAAGAAATAGGAAAAAAAGTTCAACTGAGTGCCGAAGGAAGGAAGATAAGGACAATGGAAAGGGAAAAAGCACAATACTAAGCTGTTTATAATTGGCAATTGAACTGTTCAATACTGTCAACAATGAGTCTACCGTTGAGGCAACCGCTGGAATCCTCTCCTTTTAAGAGTTAAGAGAGAAATTCACCAGTACTCCCATTATGAACAACAACAAAATCAATTACCAATTATGAACAGCAGCAAAATCAATAGCCAATTATGAACAATTGTGTCTTGTGCCATTTCCCTTTACTTTGTCGCTATACTCCTTTCTTCGGCACCCAGCCGAACTCTTCACAACCCATTACTAAGTCTAAGGTTTGGAGTTAACAGAATAATGACCATTTTAAATAAACAATCAATGACCCTAAATATTGTGACCATGCAAGAAAAGGTTGTAAATAGAGGAGAGTAACGTACCACAATAATATTTTATTTATAAAGTCCAAATATAGAACTACATGAATTTATATATCCTCATCTCTTGGAAAAGGTTCAATAGTATCAAATCTTTCAACCATAGTCGAAGAAAACACCCTGACATAAAATGTTATATTACCAGCATAATAAATAATCATTAATTCACCATCAACCAAATGATTTTCATTAACAAAATTTTGCCACCCAATATCAAAACACATATTGCTTCTGGTATCTTCAACAACCTTCACTAACTCCACATGCCATATACGGCTGTTAGGGCCTCGAAGAACTTCCACAGGACTATGGATTTTGGCTAACAAGGCAGTCCACACCTCCGGAAATACCTACAAGATCCGTACAATTATTTATAAACAGAAAAAACCACATTATAAAAAATATATAGAATATAAAACGAAAAAAAAACTACCAACTTATTTCTATATACGTCTCCGAAAATAACAACATGACTTGGTAAGTTACTATACATCTCTATGATACAGAAAATATATTGAATATATTATGACAAAGAAAAAACTGTATTTATATACAATCAAATTCCACTAAGAAGAACCATATACTATATAGTGAAAGTATTTTAATTATATATACATGTGGCTGATCAATCGTTAGACTAAATATGAATATAACTAAAGTTTCATAATATTCTTCAACCTATGTTGACTATAATGTTTGAATCCTAAATAAATCCTGGAAAAATTATAAATTAAATTAATTTATTCTATTTGATTAATAACAATAGTTGACTAATTTTAATACTCAAATTAAAATACAATTAATACTCGAGTATAATTTTCAACGTCATTTATCTTGACATGAATTTAAATAATGACTTTTAATCTATAGTAAAACTGAAAACAATGTAAGAACTTTGGAAAAACAGACAGAAAAAAACCTTATTACCAACACTCTTACTATTTAATATGTTACGGAAACGATGCACCAGTATATTATTTCGGCTACATATAACACATAATCAACATGTTAAATGAAGCTGTTAGCAGTCCACAAATTCAGCTATAACTCAACAACAACCCCATATACACCGAGATGAAAGATTAGTAAATTTATTTAAAATAATTATTTATTTAGAATGTATCGCAAAAAACTTATCTCACTTTGTACAGTCTACACAAACTTAATTGCCATAAAACCAAAAAAACCAGAACAACAACTGTCTAAGCATATTCACCACCATTGGGGTGTCGCGCGTGTAGCGCGCGGAACAACAACTAGTAATAGTATAAAGGTGATAAGTATTATGACCATTGGATCAAACAAAATAACTGGAAGGCCTATATTTGTAAAGGCCGTATAAAATGAGACTTTCCCCATCTTTTCATCCTTTTCTAATTTCTTCTTCTTCCTCTCTCTCTCCTGTAATCAAATACGTAGAACAATGGAGTATCCTTTTAAAAAAAAAATTCTTTATGGTGGATTTTCTTATAGATATGAAGATTACCAAGTTAACACTCAATGGAGTCCTGGTTTTTTGTGGAAGTTTACTGGTTTGTCAAACGACAAAGAGAAGAATAATATTCCGTAAGAGTAAAGGTTTATAATAGCGGATTAGCGGACACAATATCTTGGTTCAACTCATGAGCTTTTGTCTTATTAACATGGTTGGCTTGAGTGAGTTATTAATTATACTTACAGTGTAAAGTTGTTCAAGGACGGGGCAAACCCGCTAAGCTCGCCCAACTCGGCCCGCAAAATAAGCGGGTTTGGACAACCATTTTGAAAAAATTGAATATTTTTGCGGGCTAGACCCGGCCTGTTAATATAAATGGGCGGACATGGACAAGACAATATGTACCGTGGGCTAGCCCGTCCGGCCCATTTATTTCAAAAATTAAATATTTAATGATTTTTTAGTTAGTTAATTATATTGTATGTTTTGGAAATTAAATACAAAGAGCCTATATTGGACTCCAAGCTTTTATTAGCTACAACTATTTATTTCAATTTCATATTTTATCATTATTATAAAGACTTATTAAATAAGTTCATTCTTTCGTATTTTTCACTAACATATGTCACAAGTTTCAAATTTTTTTTAGTATCACAAGTGATCAAGAAATTTTTAAGATCACTTAATCAAAATAATATTAACATAAGTAAATAATAAAAAGATTAATTAGTGTTAAAAATATATGAAATAAAAATTTTAGGCCCGTTAGCCCGCGAATAAGCCCAGCTTGTTTAATAGAGCGGGCTTGGACAACTTATCAAGCCCGCATAAAAGGGCTCGGGTAAGCTACATTAAGCCCGTTGGACAAAAAATGAAGTATTGGCCTGGCCCGTTTTCCGTCTAAGGCCGCAAACGATCACCTCTAACTTACAGTTATAATTCTTCCTTTTTAAAGTTGACATGTTTTTTACTTTGGTACATAAATTATGTAAATCTCTCTTCTTTTTTTTATTTTTTATTTTTTATTTATTTTATTATATATTTATTTATTTTTATTTTTATGGTAAGAAAAATATATAGCCATGAGGGTATTGTTAGATTCATCCTAACATCTATTTATATCAAATAATAAAATTTTATATTATTTGTAACTTTGGGGACTATACGAACTCCTAGATAAATTTGTTTTTTTTTTTTTTTTTTTTTTGACGGGGAGCAAACAATTTTATTAATTCACCAAATAGTCCATGAGTACATAAGGGGCTATATTTGGAGGGACATAATTTTCCCATATTTGCTCAGAATTAGGGGGGATAAGCTTCGCAAGGTTGTGTGCTACGGAGTTTCCATCTCGCTTTACATGACTCCAACGGAGGCTGTCATAGGAGGAACATAAGGCCATGGCATCGCCCAGTATCAAGTCTAGATCAGTGCTGTAGCAGGCCTCTGTTGAAAGCCTTGAAACAATAGTTTGGCAATCTGTCTCGATGATAGCCTTATTGTACCCGAAACGAGCACCTAAGCTTAGGGCCCATACCATGGCTTTTGCTTCAGCAATTTCTACCACCCACCAAGCTTTAATTCTCTTTGTAGCTGCAAACAAAACTGACCCTGCACTGTCCCTTCCAACAACACCAAGTCCTACCCAACCATCATTCGATATGGATGCATCAGAATTGATTTTGATGATCCCTGCTGGGTGGGGGGGGGGGGTTCCAACTGTCGGGGCTTGGACAGGTATTGATTTTGACAGCTCTGCTTGCGGCTTTCTATATCTCAACACTTTCCTCTGCCCACCTTATTACTCGAGCTACTAGCATGTCAACTGGCGGGTCCTTTCCCTGAAAAACCTTGGTGTTTCTGTCTTGCCAAATGCCCACATCAAATAGATACCTCGGTGCTTGACATCTTCTCTACACTCTTCCAGCTTTTAATGAGCTCACGTACCTCTAGGGTGTCCACCTCTTTCGTCATTTCAGCGCAGCCCAATTTTTCCCAGAGACCCTTTATTCTTCCACACTTGAAGAAGGCATGTTGCCAAGATTCAACTTCGTACTCGCACCATGGGCATTTATCATCCTCTGCCATATGACGGTGTTTCAAGCGACCACGAACAGGAATTGTGTTGGTGCATAATCTCCATAAAAAATTTTGAGCCTTTGGTATTACATAGACCTTCCATATTTATACCCACGCTTGATGAAAATCATCCAAATTACAACCTTTTCCTAGCATATAGGCAGATTTTACATTGTACATATCGTTCTTTGCAAATGCCCACGTTGGCTCGTTAGGTGGTGCTCTTGAACTCAAAGGAATTGCGAGAATGCCTCTGGTGTCTCTATCATTGAAATGGGTTTGAATCAGTTCGTGATCCCACGACATGTCTTCCGGGATTATGAGCTCATTGACCTTGGTGATCTCCAGTGAGGGGACACTTGTAGCAAACCTGCCCTCGTCATCACATATCCAAGGGTCAGTCCAAATGTTGATATTCCTCCCATTTCCTACTCTCCACAACACTCCCTCTTTAACTAAAGCTTTCGAACCCCATATACTTCTCCAAGAAAAACTACCCCCATAGCCGAGGTAAGCTCCAAGGAAGTCCGAATTTCTATAGTACTTCGCCTTCATCACTGGATTAAGGAGAGAGTTTGTGCATGTTGTTAGCCTCCACGCTTGTCTACCAAGAAGGGCCTCGTTGAAGACTTCTAGATCTTGAAATCCCATGCCGCCCAGACATTTGAGGGTACACATTGAGTCCCAACTTTTCCAATGTGTACGTTTTCGCCCCTCACTTTGTCCCCACCAGAAATTTGCCATCGCGGAGTGAATTTTTCTCACCACCTCCAAGGGGAATTTGTAAACTCCCATAATATAGGTACGGACTTTAAGACGATTTCTTTTCCGGCTTGAGATAGTAGTTTTTCCTTCCAACTCTGCAATTTTTTCCACACCCTGTCAAGAACGGCTTCAAAAACGCCCTTTTTTTTATTTCCCCAAAATATTCGGAATACCTAGGTATTTATCATGACTATCAACCTGCTTCATGTTTAAAATCCCCAAAATCTCAGATTTTTGCTCGTGTCTCACCCCTCTGCTAAATGACACTTCCGACTTCTCGTAATTAATTTTTTGCCCGGATGCTGCTTCATACTGGTTGAGAATATCAACAATGTTTGAGCATTCCTGTCGATTGGCTCTAGCAAAGAGGAGACTATCATCTGCAAAAAGGAGATGAGAGATTTTCGGACCATTTCTGCTAGCTTTCACGCCATCCTAGATAAATTTGTTTGTGAGTGTAAATTGAAGAGATAATTATGGATGCATGTGATGGAGGAGAGACAAAATAAATGATATATAAAAAGGAAAGAAAATATTTGTTGCAATTTATAAATAATGTGTAACATTCATTTTTGGCAAAAATTCCAAATAATATGAAACAAGATAGTATTTTAAATTCAGCAACTTTTGTGTATGGTTGGCCACACCGTTTGCCCAGCTAACACACGAGTAACCCCTAATCGAACAAGTAACCCCTGACCAAGTAATCCCTGACCAATTAATCTCTGACCGATCGAGTATCCTTTGACCAAGTAACCCTTGACCGACCGAGTTGAAAGGAATGGTGTCCTTCCAACAAGTGTATTCTTTCGATAGAGGGTTCAGAATTGTTACAGAGCTAATTCTTCATTAAGGTTAAGTGATCGGAATGCCTAGGTGGAGGCCGCTTCCGATCAGTAATATTGAGGTACAATTGATATTACAGCTTAATCTTAACTGAACCCTTCGGGTTGAACCCAATCGAATCACCGATCTGAGACGACGAATTAATCCGAAAGGATTTAATGAGTCAGCAGAGTTTTACGAATACAGACGTCAGAAATCGAGCCTAGGGCGTCGAGACCGAGCGTCGCAAAATAACAAACAACAAGTATGAGCGTAGCCGTAGCTAGACTAGGCTAGCTCATTGCAAGCCTAGGCGCACCATGTGTGTGCTAGGCGCACCATGGTGTGCTAGGCACTATTGTAGCCTAGGCGCACCTAGCACCCCAACGCAGGCACCAGGCGCACCATCGCAGGCACTAGGTGCTGCGTGCGTGCGTGCCTGGCATGGCAGCACCATCGCAGGCACCATGCGCACCATCGCAAGCACTAGGTGTTGCGTGCGTGCGTGCCTGGCATGGCAGCACCATCGCAGGAACCATGCGCACCATCGCAAGCACTAGGTGCTGCGTGCGTGCATGCCTGACATGGCAGCACCATCGCTTGCACCAAGTGCTAGCATGGGTGCCTGCCTAGCATTGGCGCATCATGTGTGCTGGCTTGTGTGCTAGGCTTCGCATGGCAGCACCAAGCATCGCACCATGCATATGCGAGAGCCTGGGCGCCAGCATAGTGCTAGGCCACGCACAGCAGCCCAGCATCACCACGCACCAAGGCTGCTGTGTGATGCGTGGGCGTGCGTGTGGTGCGAGGCCAATGCACGCTGTGCATGACTAGTGTGCATGGTGCGTGGCTAGTGCGAGAGATGCTGCAAAGGTGTGTGCGTGGTGTGCGAGGCAAAGGGGGTCAGCATCCGTGGCTCGCTAGCAGCACACATGCTGGGTGTGCGAGCATGTGCGAAGGGTGAAGCATGGATGCGTGTGGTGCATGGGATGCCAGGGGCAGCACCAGCGCCTAGCACTGACACGCACCAGCGCCAAGCATCAACCAGCACTTCCTAGCTGGGATGCGAGGCTGGGCTAGAGCTGGCTGGCTGGGCTAGCTGGCACTGCTAGCTGGCATGCTAGCTGCCAGCAGCCCAACACCCCTTTGTGAGTGGCGGTTTGAGGGAGTGGGGACCAATGGGCTTTGAGCATGCCTTGGGGAGGAAGGCAATGGTCCCCCCCAAGGTTCATGGTCCTCACCTAACTCTCTCTCTCCCCTTGACACTTGTTGCATTGTGATTGGATTTATTTATTAATCTATTTTAGAAATAAATTAATTAGCAAGTTATTCATTCTCCCACATTGGTTGGGGAATGAAGTTCAAGGGTTCATTTCCCTATAAATACCAAGCTTGGGTATTGGGAAATGAACAACCTTGAATCGAATTAAAAAGGCAACTCTAAGAAAGAGTAAACCTTTGATTCGTAAAACTCATAGTTATTTTGTCTGGGTCTTGACTAACCTTCAAGACTTGGGACGCTCGGGTCGGGTCGAGGGTACGATCCGTCGGAGATCTCGTCTTTTCGGGATTTTGAAGTAAGAGCTCTTTGGGAGCGAAGCACGCGTCAAAGGTATAATTCTTGTTCTTAATCTTGTTTGATTAAGTTTATTATGCTTGTTAATTGCTTTAATTAAGGGGCGGGTCTTAGTAGGTTTCCTTCCGCGTAGTGTCGGGTCACTACGAAACCCTACAGCGGTATCGGAGCCACGCTCCTTTTAATTTTTGCAATTATTTTTTTAATTAAGGTGTTTTAAAAGAATTTAATTTTCTGGTTCATGTTCTTCTTATTAGATTAGATGCTCGTTTTAATTTTTTTTAAAACTTGGTTTTTTTTTTGTTTTGGCTGTCGAACCCAGATTTTGGCTCAAAAATAGTGAATTTTGGGTGGAATCGATATTCTGGAACAGATTCAACCCATTTAGGGATCTTCAGAAGCCAAATTCGAACCAGAAACCCAATTTTTCTGGGGTTTTTTTTTTCAACGAAAATTTTAATTCTTTTTAAGCCTTGATTAATGCAAGCATTACAAGGTTAGATTAAATGAACATTTGCATCACTAATCTACTGGTTTTAAAATATCCTTGAGCATAATAATGGAGTTTTTATTAGTGCTTAAGTTGATATACCAATTTTTCACATAAACTTGTTTTTCACAAATTTTGCAAATAAATTGCAATAAGGTGTGAAAACTTGTTGTGATTTTGTATTTTAAGTTCCCAAATAATGTTAAAGTTCTAATCTTTAAAGGTTTAAATGATTGGAACCCTAACCCTAAATTCCATGTTGAACAAAGTTTGGATTTTTTCATGATTGGTTGATTAAAATCCATTAAGTTCAATTACTTGTGAGTAAATTTGATTAATCTTCATATTGGAAGATGTAATCTTGGTATTTTACACAAGTATGCAAGTTGGAAAATTTTTATCATTGGATGGTTAATTTATTTTTCCAACTCCTATTTGTGAAACCCATTATTAATTTGCATATTGGCAAAATTAATTATGGACATAGCTCATTCAATATGGTTGCATCAAGTTAGACCTAAAATTAATTCAAAGAATCATTCTTGAATAATTTAGGCTTGTGCACTATTAAATTTTGTTTTTTAAGATAGACTTGTTATTTTATTTTTGCTCCAAATTGGTTCTAAAATAAATTTAGAATTAATTTTTAACACACAAATATCGGGATTAAAATCCCGAGTCAAAAGCACACAAATCGAGGCAAAGGGCACCCAAGCAACACCTAGGCTAGCCGGGCTGGTATCGCAGCCCATATGTGGCTGCCTTGGTGCGCATGGTGCTGACCCTGCCTCGCTGTGAGGCTGCTGTGTGTGGGGAGCCAGTAGTGCACATATGATGCGCTGCAATGTGGTGCGTGGCTGCTGGGCACTGCTCGCATATGCTGCCAAGCAGCGCGAGGCAGCCAGCCACACCTGCCAGCACCCATACTCGCATGCCAGCATGCGAAGCGCTGTGCGTGCTAGGGCTAGCAGGCGCAACAAGGCTTGCTGGGCCAGATGCTTGCGCCTAAGCACTGCACTGCTGCAGCATTGATGCTAGGCATCCAGTTTTGTATGTGGGGCCGTTTTGATGCATGAGCTATGTAATTTTGCGATTATCCCGTTTTAAAATATTTTAATAATTATTTTAAAGAGGTTAGAACCTCGATATTCGATTTTGCAAAATTTTGACAAATTATGGGTTATGCCGACTTAATTAATCGGATTAATTAAGTATGGATGCGGAATTTAGTGGGAGCTTAATTAAGTGCGTAAGCATTTTGCGTTTAGAAATAATGGATTAAACCACTTTGACTAGTTTTAACTAGGCGCGTTAATTGGATTAACCACCTAAGTTAGTTACTAGTTTTGCGTGTTTAATTATGTATTTCGTAAAATTGCATGGGCCATTCACAAATAGTGAATGGGTGAATGGAAGATTGTTTTCAAAACAAGTTCTTTGAAAATGGCAACTAGTGGGGCCCGACTAGGATAGAAAATACGGACTGCGTTCCGTTATGTATCTTTTGTAAATCTAAATACGGTCTGCGAACCGTTAAGTATTTTTGTACTATTATATTAATCTTAGTCGTTCTAGCTAGCTTCTTTTATTTCATTTTGGCCAAGATGTCTCAAGACGGCGTTTCGACGAAGACGAGCCAAGATGAAGACCCATGGAAATTGAAGATTTCAAGGGGTCATGCTAGTTGCCAAATGAATCTATTTTTATGCCTTATATATTGTTATTATATATGATTGCTAGATGCATGTCTAGGATTTCTATTATGTTGCGACGATTAGTTAAGTTCACTTAAATCAACCAACATAGAAACCCTAGGTCCCTTAATAATATTGAGCTAAAATTTGCCGTTCCAAGAACAACACTTACCGAACTAATGCGCGTATATGATGGATTACGCCAATGCGCTGCAATGAGCGTGCGTGCCTGGCATGGCAGCACCATCGCAGGCACCATGCACACCATCACAGGCACTAGGTGCTGTGTGCGTGCGTGCATGGCATGGCAGCACCATCGCAGGCACCATGCGCACCATCGCAAGCACTAGGTGCTGCGTGCGTGCGTGCCTGGCATGGAAGCACCATCGCTGGC